CCCATGTAATGAACATTTACTATAGAAAATAATCACCTCTATGGCAACAATAAACCACAAACAATCTGTATACTACATTTTAGCGAACAACTCTGTCATGCATTAATATGCAGTTTTGGGAAGTAACTAGTTACATGTATTTAAAGGAACAGTGTGTAAGATTTAGGCAGATCAGATTGTGACCAGCTGAAACTTCTCCAGGTTAGGATTCCTTTGGTGATCATTGTTCAGGAGGTTGTTACCAGGAGCCAAATTATCCGCAGAGATCTCTTCCTCTCCAAAACAAACAGACCAGGTGATTTAAACAGGTAAAAACACTGAATGAAGCAGTTTCACATTACAAAGCAGTGTTTTTCTGACACAGCTCATCATGGAGGGGCTACTGAAACTGATGGCTGACAGGAGAAAGCAGATGGCCCTGTCTAGAGCCAGTGTTTGTTTTGTCCATTCTGGGCTACTGTAGAAACATGGCTGATCACTATGTGGATATAAACAGCTCATTCTGAGGTAACAAAAACACAATAATAATTATATAATATTCAATTTTTGCCACTATATCCCCTTAATCCTACTGGACCTTTAAATTGCAAAATAAATGTGTTTGACTAAGAAAAAATCTGAAACTAAATTACAGTTACTAATCAAAATGCTGGTGATTACAAAGAGGCTAGGCCTACATCTGAATATACAGTATTCTTTTCAGTGGGTTCATCTGTAGAACATGACTCTCATTCTGTTGCTTTGCATCTTGTCACCGAGGGGAATGCCTTCATTTAGCTTTGTTGCCCAGATGAATTTTCCTTTTTAGAAAAGTAATCAAAATAATTGAAATGCAGTAAGTGGCATTGTTTTGATAAAGCAATTAAAATTGTTACATTACTTATGACATATTTAACAGTGTAACAAGTAATCTGTAATCTATTACATCTCAAAAGTAACCTTCCCAGCACTGTTAATACGCACTAATCCTAATTTATACATAACTCTAAACTAAGGTTTTTATCTAAATGTGATAGTTCAGATGTTTTGATGTGGGGTTGTATGAGGTTCTTATCCATAGTCAGTGTATTACATACAGTAGATGTCAGTCGGCACACCTTCTGTTCAGAGCAGCAGGCTGGATTGCAACATGGGAGCTCAGCAATGTACTGCTGTGGAGGGGTGGGCAACAAAATGTATTTTAGCCACATAAAAAAAAGTCCACATCAGTTTAAGTATACACTGTATTGGGAGTATTTACACTGCTTTGTCTTTCTGTCAGACAGCCTGTTTTAATGGGGAAGTGGTCAACAGCTTCAGTTCCCCATCTATGCTCTTGTCAAAGCTGTAATGTAATTTTTCGTAAGTTAAGTTCACTGAACACAGGAGCTGCTGGTCAACCGCTGCTTCAATAAGTTAGTCAGTTCATGTAATTGTGTGACTTGAACCTGAACTAAACCTTTAAACGCCAAAGTCACACAACAAAACAAACAAAGTAACTGTTTGAGGCAGTAATACAGCAGCAACTTTTGCATTCAGCAATGTCTAATCATTGTTTTTCTCAGTCTGGCTTTGAAGAGAGCACTATAATGGATATTTTTGAGTGGAACTTTTTTTAGGTGGCTAAAATACATGTTGTTGCTGACCCGTCCACAGCAGTACATTGCTGAGCTTCTCTGTCAGTCTCCAGCCTACTTCTCTGAGCAGGGGCGTGCTGACTGACATCTACTGTTTGTAATGTACTGTGTATGGATAAGTATCCCATACAACACCATTAAAAAATCTGAACTGTCCCTTTAAACTTGCTGAATGTTTTTCTTCTTTACATTGTGAGGTCCAAAAACACACAGACCACAAACACAGCTGTCCTGTGGTCTTTACTTACAGTCATTGTTTGGAGGGGCCCACCCTTGACTGTTTACAGTAAAAGCTGCAGAGCCGCAGCCTGCAGAGCCGCAGCCTGCTGCTGCTGCTGCTAAGTTACTTCCACTGACTTGACGGAAGTGCTAAAAATACAGGCGTGCTGCCTGCCTCTGTGATACAGCAGAGTTTCTTCAGGGTTTCCACTGCCGGTTTATCTACAGCAGCTCATCAGGCAGCATGTGGGAACTTTATCAGAGCTGTAACTAGTCAGTGAGGTGACTGTGAGGGACAGCTTTCAATTTAGATCTGAACATCTGGCACTGAAGAGTCAACTTCATCAAGACATAACTGTTGGTGGACACTACAGGTGAAAACAGTGTGTTACATGTCAAATGCAGTATGCCAAAAGTACCAGGATGTTCTGCTGCATTTTGCAGTATGCAAACTGGCATGCTTTTCTGGCTATTGTGACCCACAGTCCTCTGCACAGTGGAAGATACGTCATATCAACTGAACCGCAAACAGATGAAAGCTTGACAGCTCGCTGACAGCTGTCAGAGGGCGTAATGACAGATGACAGCACAGTCAAGTGACTGATGACCAGTCAAATAGTAATTACAGGAATATGAACTGTTTAAGTGAAAATAATCATTGAGATTACCAACAACAAATTACATATTTGTTTGAATGTTAGAATCCACAGTGTATGCAGTTATTACTTAAGAGTTTACACTACACACACTGCAAAGTAACAGTACCGAGCTCTGTCTCGGGCGAACTTAGTGAATGGTGTTTTGTTGAATCTCCAAGGTAACAGATAAATGATTGAGAGGGTCAAAGCTTAGGATATTATGTTATGAGGAAGTAGTACGTTCCAACTGTGTGCATACTGCATGCAACAGTACTTTGTGAGGACAGCTGCAGTTCCTACTAAAAGGAAAAAGACAAAGTAAGCGATTCAGAACTCAGCCACAGTTTTCTCATGCACTGCTCAGTTTTGAGAATTTGGGTTATTTTGCTTAAATAACATACTTTTTCAGACTAGTGAAAAGAAAACAGCCAAAATACACATTTAGGTGTTTATTTTAGTTCAGATTTCTGTTCTGTAAACATACGCAAAAAATGCTCATTTAATTAGATAATGCCTCATTTGCATATTCCAAAATAAAATTTCAGAAAACTTTTAAAACAAAAATAACTTTCTTAATGTTAGTAATCAACTGGGGGAAGTTCATGGTGATATCTGTTAGATGGATTTGTTTTTACCTGCACCTCTAGTGTCTAATTTTTTTATTTTTTTTTTTTTAGAAATATTTGGAATTTTACAATATATAGCTTTCAAGGCCATTCTCTCAAAATGAGTTTTTTCTCAAACTCTGAGCCAGATATGTCCACTTCAGCACCACTTACATGCACCAAATGTTCCAGTTTTATTCCCATCTATATTCTCAAGGATTTTACTGAGGGGTTTGTTCTTGTATCATTCAGAGCCTGATTTATAGAACATTTTATTCATAAAAACAGGGTGAAAATGGATTTCTTTTTATGGCTGTTGACACTGTTTTGTGATTTATGGAGTGACACAGAAAGATGTCCAAAACTCCCTCTGTGAACACCTCTAACTCTGATATTTCAACACAGTGAAACAAGAATTTTGAACCTGACTCTATCCAATGTTTACATTTCTGTTCTGGACCTGTATGCTACACATTCAACACAAAATTTCCCAAATATTTAAAGTAATGATCTTCTTAATGTGAGTGATTACCTGGGCAAGTTTCATGGTGATATTTATTACTTAAAACTTTTAACCCATTCACCTGCGGTGTCTCCCCTTTATGACTCCAAAAAAAAAGTATGTGGGGACCTCCAGAGCCCAGCGCACTGCAAATAAAGACACACATCAAATACAGAAACACTCCGCAGGTTGTACAGATGATGGCCGCCAATCAGCTGTTAATACCGTTGAAAGCAGTGCTGAAGGAACCTGCCCAATTAGCACAAGCTAACACAACACAATGTGTTTTCATCACTACTTGTCATATTTTGCCACTTGGGCAGAAGCCCTGTAGCAATGGTTAACATCTCACACCCACACTGAAATGGCCTGACTCTGTCGTCACATCTTTTAATAACAGTTGGGTAACATTAGCCGTATGATGCCAACAGTTAGCCCTGTCACTGTGTGTGTGTGTGTGACTCTGTCCCAGGCACAGAGCTTCAGTCCTGCAGCAGTAGTGTCATGATAAATAGAGAGAGAAAGGGGCTGAACCAATATGCTACAGACAGCTCTACAATGAAATTAAGATTTTATGTGTTTTAAATAGTCAAATTTGCAGCGAGGTTGTGGCAACTGGTCAAAATTGCAAGGTCGCACAGATTTAACAGGGATTGGTAGAATTTGCGTTAATTGTTGCAATTGCAACTCTGCAAATCCTGAGGGAACTGATAGAGGGCTCTCACACAGCTTGTGCAGCGCTTACCAGGAGCATGCATTTTCACTATTAGCCTTACTATTTAAAACACTTCCACTGAGGAGAGTGGGCCCTAAGCATGCCTGAGTGCACATGTGGGCGAACACTACTGTCATGCTACTTTGTGGTGCATGAAAAAGTTCGCAGACGTGTGCTGAGTCCTGGTGTTTTGGCAGTAGTGTGTGTTTGAGGGGTGTTGAACATGCAAGTTCGTGGATGGATGTTTTGATGTGGTTTTGTTGTTGTTGGGCGCAGTCTCCCTTTGTGAAGGGTGTGCACCTTTTGTCGATTCTCTGTTCGCTGTGGTGGCATATAAGACAGGCAGGGTTTTCTTCGCAAATTCAGGGGGTCAGGCAGTGGGTCATTGATATATCGGTGGTTGTTTTGTGGGCGAAGTATTTAAACATACGTTAGGTCAGGGTTAGAGAATGGTGCTGCCTGTCAGAGGTCTCAGAAGAGTTATGACGGCACTGCCAACTGCAGAACCTGATGATAGGTCAACATGTCATTTAGAATAAATACTGGGCTTCTATAGGAATGGAACTTTAAACAGTATTTTTCTGTATTCGCCTGTTAAGATTGTGTGTGTGTTTTACTTCTTCAGGTTTGAGTAAAGAACAAGAGCATCTTCTCTACACCTCTTCTGTCAAAACACACAAGTGAACAGAACACAGACACTGAGGATGACTTTTACAAAATCTGTATTTGAAAAAAAAATGCAAAGTGAAGTCTATTTTTTTTTTTTTTTACAATACCAGTGAAATTTACAAAAACAAGATGATGCAGGAACAGTCGTTGGGACCTGATGTTTGTTGAAACATGTCAATACTGCAACACAATCAGCTTTTAACAAAAAGAAGCGAGTCAGTGAGAATCATAATTGTCACATATTGTATAGCACAGGCTGGTTGGTCAGTAGTGGTCAATGAGCCTCAGTAACCACATGGTCACTGTGGAAACCAGATGCAAGTCCTGCAGAGTTTTTTTTTACCCCCAAAATCAAGAAAACTCACTCAACCAAACAATCCCTAAAAATGTTTGCCAAGATTTCGCTATGCAAGGCACTAAACCCTGAACAGCTGCACAGAGCTGCTCATTGGCTACTAATAAAGGAATCAACAGAAAACTTTTGGAAGTTCTGGAGCAGGTGAGAAGAACGCAGACTTTGAGGCAAACCCTGGAAAATCCTCATTCTAAAGTGATCTCAGCAGGAATGATAATGATGAAATAAAAGATAAACCAATAAAGGAATAACACAAAGTTGGGACTACGCAGGCAGGACAAGAGACAAGAAAAACCTCTTGTCAACACACCAAAATGGCTCATATATAAATGTATGTAACTGAGTATTAGGGCCAACATTAGGGAAAATAAAGAATACAGTAAAGATGGTTTGAGAAAAACTTGCAATATTTGGAGAGAAAGGTTAAAAAAAAATCACTGAGACATTGAGAAAAATTCATTATTTTGAGACATTAAACAACTAATACCAGTCTGTGTCTTTTATATGTGGGTACATTTGATAACCTGGAGTTGCAGGTCTCACCAATAAACACCTTAATATAACAGTTTTAAGGATACTGACATAAAAATGAAACCAGTTAGGGTGCATGACATATGGATCAATGACCGGATTTGTTTGAAGGCAGCAGCTGGAGCACAGCGGGCTCAAAACAAAAGTTAAAAATAGTCATCTAAGAAAAACGCAGCCCAGTCACCAGAATAAAATGTTGGCATTGTACCTTTCTGCAAACCAAAGATATGTTGTATTTGTACGTTGCATATGTAATAAAACGTTTCTTAAGTGACATAGTTCAGGTTACATGTATGTGAGTTTCTCATCAGGAGATGGAGAGGATGGTGGATGATGTGACACCTAAGCAAGATGGCCGCCAAGCAGCAGACAACTGTTAAAGACCAGTAAAAGCAGGACAGTTCATGACACATCCACCTGTGTTTGTAACGACCCAACTGGGTATTTTAGGCCAAAACATGATGCTTCCCTAACCCTAATCCTGTTTACACCTGGTATCAACATGTGTCCTCAGTGGTCCGATCACAGTTGGACAGCTCTGTCTGTTTGTTCACACCTGAACCAGTAAACCGGCTGTTCACTGCGAGTGGCTCCAGAGATGGTCCTCCAGCTCTGCGTTTGTGTCAAGGCCAAGACACACGAAACCAACATCAAAGAACTTGTGGCAACAAAAGCTGACTGTTGTGTCACCTCACGTCACTGTGTCTCGGCCAAATATTTGCACATGAACACACTGCAAAGACTACAGCCAACAGCCAACCAGCATGTACATCTAACGCCCTCTTGACTTTAGCTGTTTGTTTACTTTCCTCACTTCCATTTCTCCTTTTGTGCACTAAGCTGAACTGCCAATCAGAGTGATCTAAAATACCAACGGGCTGTGCCGTCTCTGACATCAATTCAACATGCTGAACTAAAAACTAGGACCGACGAGGGGCAAACTGTGCAGGACACAACAAAGACCGGGGGCAACAGAAGCTTAGCGACAGCCAAACATTGGCAAACGGCCGATGAAGAAGTTATATTATCTGGTGGGCTGTGACATAATCAAGGGCATGGTTCAATGTGGCCCAGGACATATAAGCGTTCACACTGCAGAGCTGAGATCTGATCACTCAGACAATCTCTGAATGTGGTCTGAGCATTCAGACCTCAAGACACACTGGAGTCATATCAATGCATCCTGGATGATACTATCACACAGGATGTGTGTTGATACAAGGTGTAAACATGGCCCTGGTGTTTTGTGTGTGTGTGTGTGTGTGTGTGTGTGTGTGTCAGCATTATCACAACACTGAAAACTGAAACTTTAAGTTTCAACCACTACCACTATCCACTACATATGAAATGTACAATAACTTATCCATGGTTTGCAGAAAAGTACAATGACAACATTTATTCTGGTCACTAGGTTGGCAAAACCACATTTTGCTCCTGATGCAACATATATAACTGTTATCAGGTTTCTCTTTCTCAGTACACCTTTTCGTGAACTTTCTTTTCTCAGGATTATGACTTAATTCATGATATCTCAGATTATAATTTTTTCCCTATAGTTTGTCCTAATTTTCTGTCAAATTTCTAAGTCCCAATATTAGTTGGTCATTTTCACCATTCCACCAGCCACCTCTCAAGACCACACAGGGCTGAATTTGCCAGCATTTAGTTGGAGGAGAAGTTTGCACCTTCAGTATAAAGTGTATTTGTTGTAAATCCAAAACAAGTGTTTATAGTTCTCTCTAAACATAGTAAGTCAGTGATGAACCAATATGTGCAGATTTAAAAGATTCATGTGGGATCAATATTCTAATTTAAAATTCTGCCTGAAAAAGAAAAACTAATAAAATTCACAGCCCAAACTGGATTACCTCGACTACACCTGATTGTCACTCAACTCAGCTATCACGTCTCTGATTATAAACTTGTAACATCACAACACGTTTCATAATCTGTGAGTCATTACAGGCTCTTCCCACACATGCACACGCACACACACAAAAAAGATCCAGAGACATCAGCTGAGAAGACGAAGAACGTGAAAACACCACAAATTTCTTCTGAGAGAATGTTTTTGAAGAAAACAAGTAAGTTTATGATTAACCCATGTTCAGACTACAGTGTCTCAAACCTGCTCCAGCCCATGCAAGCAAACTTGAGAGTACATGTTTTTAGGAAGTGGACGCTAAGGTAGACTCACTGTGTTTTGGACAGTATTCCAGACACTGAAACTCAATAAATACTTCCAGGTCACAAATCAAATACATAAAGGTCTCATCATTTTTCCTTCCTTCATTGATTTGGGAGAAATCACAGCGAGTGTTCAATGTACGCCTGTGGCTAAACGAATATGGCAGGTGGGGAGGATTCTGTGACCGGAAGATGCAGAAATGAGAGAGCCTGTGTCTGCAAAATACTATTTTCATAGTAATGTTAATCAAGATAAGGCTCAATAAATACAAAAAAACTCAAATGGGCAGAGAGTGTTTTAGGGCTGGCCTTTTCTAAAGTCATTCCACCTTTAAAGTAGGGCTGTGCGGTATACCAGTTCGTAACGAAAATCGGTATTTATTTTCGTTATGATATGATTTTTTCATATACCGCAATACTGGTGAATAGCCTAAACAATGTCTGGAACATGCGCAGTGGTAAAGTGTTTCAGCGGGGACCCATTTCACCGCTGCATACCACGGGTGTGCTAGAGCCGGCGAGAGTGCGAGCATAGAGAAAAGTTTAGAGGCGAGAATGGCTGTCAGAGAGAGTCAAATCCCAGCACTTGAATAGGCCATAGCACAACACAGCAGCATGTCAAGCGGGCCGAACCCGAGCAAAATACCATCAAATATTGTGAAAGCGATGATTTTTTTTAAAAAAACGTACTATGAAAATTTTGACATACCACCCAGCCCTACTTTGAAGTAACATCTCTCTGCCAGACATGACAGACGGCTGTCAAAAAATGGAGAATAACTACCTGTTAGTGTTTTGAAGTAACAAAAAAATATATATAACGTTTAGTAAAGCATTAGAAATGCCTGCTGTCCAGGATGCCGTGAGTTCAAAACAGTCCAGAATACAGCGAGTGGTCACTGTAGTCAGGAAAAATTGACTCCAATCAATCAAACTTGTTTTGACTTGTAAGACCCTCCCCTCAGGCAAGGCATGCAGTCATGCTTGTGTGCGCATGTATTAAGGCAGCAAAGCAAATTTACCAGCAGCAACTGTCCAAAACACAGTGAGTCTGTTACATTTTCTTTCCTCCTACTGGTTGGAAAACAGACTGAGGGCAATGTTAGTAGTGTTTTTATGAATCTATGAGTCCAAATACGTGATAATGCAACTGCAGTTTGAAGTTACAGAAAGTATTCACTGAAGGGTACTGCTGCTTTTACGCACATTTTTTGTTGTTGTTGTTTTTTACCTCTTCCAAGAAGTGTAGCTACACAGCACAGCATCAAAAATCATTAACAGTGACTTTAGTTTGTGGTCACATCATTATCTTCACACCACAGCTAGCTGTGCTTTGCAGGAATGATCAACAATGTAAGAAAACAAACTCTATTAGTGTTGAGTACGTCCTACCTACATCCTACACTTGGTACAAGGCCTCTCAGTCACTGGCTTCTCCATTTTCTCCTGGAGAATCCACAAGTTGAACTCAGCAGGAGTACAGTGCATCTACAGCTGCAGTTTCGTATGTATATGTATGTACAACCCCAATTCCAAAAAAGGTGGGATGCTGTTAAACTGTATGAAAAGTCAACCAAATACAGTAGAGACAAGATATTTAATTTTCAAAGTGATAAACTAAATAAACTTTTTGTCACCAATTACAACACATCACAGATGTCACTAACGTAGCATGCTACACGTACTAGCATACTATGCTATGTTGTCATTATTGTTATTAAAATAAGTCCATGGTGACTTCAGGACATGAACACCAGTCTCCTGAATGAAAGTCCTGTGTTTTCCTGCCCACCCTGTGGGGGCTTCCTTAATACTGTACAACATTATGCAGTCTTTGGTCCTGTAATATTAATTATGGCTGCTAGAGGGTGCCACCTTACAGTAAATCTAAGTATGGGTCATAATAAGCTGTTTGCAACGTCGACCTATGTTGCCGTTTTTTCGGTGAGAGCAGGCTGGTTTTTGGGCGTGCCACAACTTTCCCAGTCTTTTGTTGCCCATGGCCCTTCTTTTTACGAACATGTTGCAGGAATCAAGTTCAGAATGAGTGTAAATTTACAGAAAAAATAAAGTTTATCATGTTATCAAAGGATTTGCAAATCATTGCTTTCTGTTTTTCTGTACGTTTTACATGGCATCCCAACTTTTTTTTGGCATCAGGGTTGTAGAAAAGTACACGATAACTAGAACAGTGAGTGTGCTAAAACATACAAAAAATGTCAGTTTGTTTAGTTGGGTGGGACAAAAAGTGACATAAGAGAGCATCCAGAAGTGTGTGTGTGTTCATTGTCAAGGAGTGGCAGATCAGCATGAAGTACTCTGGGTTCAGAATTGACCAAAGAAAAAAAAAAGTCAAAATACCAAAGAAGAACCATTAGATTGTGAAGTTCTATTAGCTGAAATTGTTAATTAAATGACCATGTATGTTCACTGTTTTCTGTGGAGGCATGTGAGAAAAAATGTTTTCTTCACAAATTCAAGGTAACATGGTATGACTGATATACAAATGGTCATTTTGTGGGTAAAGTGTTCCTTTAAGGTTAACAAAAGGGTTGGGGAAGCATTCTCTTATAAAAACCCTTCAGAAAACGCAGCTGTTTAAAAGAAAACATGTTAAAAAGTGTATGAAATGTATGTGCTTTGTCAAGATTTTATACCCAGTCAGTTTTAAGGGTTGGTATTGTTGTCTCTTAATATTTCTGTAAAACAGGTCAGTGTCTGGTCTGGTCCAAAAACAAAAAAAATCTAGTGTCTATTATCTGTGCGCTGGAATCAAGCGGGAGTGCAGCTTCTATCTCTCATTGACAGTGCTTCAAAAATCATCACATCTCTCTCTAAAATAAACCAGGAAACAAATCATTATAATAATAATAATAATAATAAAACAATCACAAAATAGAGATAGCAAAACATCAAAACTGATATATCTCTCTATGTTCATTGTACTTACACAGGAAAATAAGAGGGAATTAAAAAAAACACAACTCCAGTGTTTACCTTTCGACTTAGTGTATGTTTGCTTGTTTACAACAGGAAGCTAGTGTTTATATGGCTACAAAACAAAGTTTGTCTGAATCATTTGAGTCAAAAGATTTCCTCCCTCAGTAGTAGGTTCTGGGTGTGATGAGGATAGTGTCTGAGTCTGGGATCCATCCGCGAGAGAAATCTTTGTAGTGAGAAAATTCAGCTTCCAGACCGTCAAAGAGCGAGATTAGAATGGCGCTCCGTCTGTCTCTAAAATCAGCCAATGGGCTCAGGGCTCCTTCAAAGTATCCGACTGGCGTGCAAAACCCCACCATCACACTTGAAATCCAGGTAAGGTCCAAATGGAAAAATAAAAACAGCCACTATTGTTCCAGGTCCTCGATTAAAACTGAATGTTCAAATGAAATCAGCAAAAATCACACGACAGGCAAGTTGTGGCTTCTTTGCTCTCACATATGCCATGAAACACTGTCATTAACAGTGCTACCAACATACATCTACACACACACACACACCCACACACACACACACCATCTTATTGCCTCTTATTAAAAGAATACACTCCCCACAGTTCAGTGATTCACATAAGAAAAAAATAGAATACTCCTGCACATCCAGTTTACACTCTGCAGCTCACAGATCTTTCCGAGGGTTTTGCCCGAAGCACAGACCTCTTATCTGTGACCTCTGACCTCTGTGGGCCACCCCTCTGTGTGCAGGAGTATTCTGTTCCATCTGAACCTGCACACGCTGCCCTCCAGAGTCTGGAGGTCTTGGTGTCACATATCTCATCTCATCCTGTTCTGCCTCATCAGGGGGACGATGCAGGACGGCGGACCCGCCTTCGTCAGGAAGGGGTGTTTGAGAAGCTCACTGGCTGAGGCCCTCTGAGCCGGGTCTCTCACCAACATCCTGTCTAGGAAGCCCTTGAGCAGAGGGGAGACCTGTAAGAGGGAGAGAACGTCCAAAGTCAGTCAGGTGTTAGTGACAGTATCCTGTAGATCTGTAGAGGAAGAATAAGGGGTGGGCATAGAGATTATATTCAATGTATCGCAACTTGTACCACATGGGATGTATAAAATGAGTATATTGCAGACACTGAGTTTTAACCGTTACATCATAGTTTTAAAGCCACCAGCACAAACTACTACTACTTTTCCTTGAACACGCAGGGTTCAAGACCATACTTTGACTTCATTGTAACAGTACTTTATTTTACTTTAAACCTGCCAGTGGTCATTTGTCTTCCTCTTGTAGAAGCAAAAGATGACAAAATCAGATGTGCTGATGGTGCTTCACATAGACTGCTCTGTCACAATCAGGCTTTTGTCTTTGTACCTTGTGCAGGTTCTTCAGTTTGGGAGGCAGGTTGTCTCGGATCATTTTCATGGCTTTGAGCGGCGGCTCATTGAAGTACGGTGGCTCCCCGTCCACCATCTCTATGACCATGATACCCAGAGACCAGATATCCACCTGGACAGAGAGACAGTCAATAAGTAGAAGAGATGTGCTGGTTTACGACCTCCATTCAAAAAACATTGGATCACTATGTAAAACATTAAGAAAAACAGAATGCAATGATTTGTTAATCCCTTTGGACCTATATTCAATTGAGTGAAGTCCAAAGACAAGTTATTTAATATTCAAACTGGGAAACTTTGATTTTTGTCAATATACACTAATTCTGAGTTTGTTGTCTTCCACAAAAGTTGGACCAGGGGCATGTTTACCACTGTGCTACATCACCTTTTCTTTAAACAACAGTGAGTAGGTGTTTGGGAACTGGGGACACTAAAATGTTGAAGTTTTGAAAGTGAAATTCTTCACCATTCTTGCTTTATATAAACTTTAGTTGCTCAACAGTCCAGGGTCTCTGTTTTATTCTGTTTTCAATGGGAGTCAGGTCTTGACTGCAGGCAGGCAGGCCAGTGTAGTACCCACACTCTTTTCCTACAAAGCCACGCTGTTGTAACACATTCAGAATGTGTCTCACTGTCGCAGAAAAGTCTGCGGCGTTTCTGGATGTTGTTGATACCTGGCTTTCACTTTGCACGTAAGAGTCTGAACTTGCGTTTGTAGATGAAGCAACAAAATGTATTTACTGATAATGGTTTTGCCAAAGTGTTGCTGAGCCCATGCAGTCTGAAGGATGGAAGTTGTATCTGATGTTGGTTTCAGCCGTGCCCCTCATCTGAAGAAATTTCTCTGGATCCTCGGAATCTTTTGATTATGGATTGTGGATGGTGAAAATCCTAAATTCCTTTAAACTGTGCTACAAAACATTGTTCTTAACCCTTTAAACTCTGTAATAGAAATCGTCTGTACCCACGCAGTTTTTTACAAAGTGGTGAACCTTGCCTCGTCCTTACTTAATTAATAACTGAGCATTTCAAGAGTGCCCCTTTTCACACCCAGTCATGATATTTTATCTGTCACCCATTATCTGTAGTGTTCCAAACAAATGTTTTTGAGCTTCCCCAGTCTTTTGTTGCCCCAGTCCCGACTTTTTTTGGCACGTATTGCAGGCATCAAATTCAGAATGAATGTACGTTTACAAAAACAATACAGTTTATCAGTTTGATCATTGTGCTGTATTTAATGTATTTAAGATCTGTAAATCACTGCATTCTTTTTTAGGTTTGTTTATGTTTTACACTGCATCCAAACTTTTTTGGCGTCTGTGCTGTAGATGTTCTCATAACAAATAGCAGTAAACTCCTGAGGGATGTGTGGATGTTACCTCTGGTCCATAGGGCAGTCTGGATATGAGCTCTGGTGCCATCCAGTATGGTGTTCCCACCAGAGACTTTCTTCTTTGCACTTCCTTAGACACCTGGGCACAGAAACCAAAGTCTGACAGCTTCACCTGGAGACAGAGAGAGCCACACAGAGACGGAGGCAGAAAGAGATGGATGAAAAGAAGAAATAGAAAAAAAACAAAAAAACAATGAATGTCAAGATTATTTTTCACAGAAAGTACAAAAGTTTTTCACATCATGTTTGTGTATGTGAGGTTGAAGAAATACAATAACTGTCTGCAGCCTTTTCATTTATACAGTGCTTGTGAATGAAGCCAGAAGTTGTTCCTGAACAACTTTATACGTCAATTTTATTTATATAGCCTAATATCAAAAATCACAGTATTGTCTAACAGGCTTTACAATCTGTACAGCACTGTCTGTCATTAAATCTTCGATGCAGAGTAAGAAAAACCTTTAACAGGAAAAACAGGGGAAACCTCCAGGGTTTTTTCCTGGCTAGAAATGAGGTACAGGTGGTAACGTCCTCATCATGTGCACACACATGCATGTGTACTGTGCTGTCAGCTGGCTCAAGTGATGCCTATCATGTGGATTCCTGGATATCAAATGATCATCAGTTTGTTGTGGTCCCAGTCATATTTCTTTGTGTACTTAAGTAGCAGATCACATGACCTGGCAAGACCATATTTGAGACTGAGAATATGACCACACATTGCGATACACTGAATATCTCGTAAACCAACAGCGCAAGAGAAAGGTCTGGAATCACAGACTATCTTTCTGCTATAGGGGGAAAAATGCTTTGGATTGTTTCTGTCGTCTTGGGCTGCACTAAACCAGGATGCAGTGATGGTGCTCTTGTAAAAATAATGTCTGGTGTGAACTTGTTTTGGTGGGACATTTACACGTGTGGAAACAAGCACTGTCATTAAAATGCCTCCACAAAAGAAAATGCCACATAAACCTTAACAGTCGTATGTCACTGTGTGATTCAACTTCTAGTGATAAAAAGACCATCATAATTTAATAATCTGAGTCCTAGAGGTGAAGCCTGACTTAGGCTCTGGAGGAGCTCACCAGATCCGGTAAAACCACAGACAATTTTGCTGGCTGTATGTGGCTCTAGCAGAACATCATTAAGACGATATCACAGAAGCTTGTGTGAAGTGGAAAGGATTGGTACATTTGTTAAGTCAATGTCTATGGTGCATGCAGCTGCCAGAGTTAAAAGACATGGCCAATAAACTCCGACGTGCCATTTTCAGCATGTAGGTTGTTAGCTCAGGTTGCTGCTGCTGTTTGCCGTAGTGAAGGAGATTTGGAAACAGTAACATGCAGATAGCGTGAGGGAGGGAGATTACCAGCTGAAATCAGTAGCCCATTTGCAGGCTCAAAGCCACAATCGACATTCTGTTAGTCAGACTATGGCGGCAAAGATGTTACCAGCTTAAACACTGTGGTGCACCAGGCTGCATCTGCTTTGCTGCGACCCAAAACAGACAGCACTTTTTTCCCCTTATTGGCAGCATTTTCCTGGTGCACTGTGCTGATTGGGACAGCCCCACTACATCTGTGCAATACCGCAATTGCATTTCATAAATAAATCATAAAAATCCACACAATGCAATGCTTGTTAGAAATAGTGTTTTCCATTTTAAATCCGTCAGTTTTGTTGAGAGCTGGAGGCAGGTTGAAATTTGAATGAGGCTGCCACCTCATAATTCTCTTCGCAGGAAAACCCCTGAACCTCAGGAGGAGCAACAGCTGGGTATCTAAACAGAGAAGCAGCCTTTGATGTTGACCACAGGTCCACTGTTCTCAGATGACTCAGAAAGAGAAATGAAAAAAAAATGGGTATGAGAGCCTGTGCACACATGTATGAACACAAATGCAAACAAACACTGCAACCGTGACAAACTGAGCTTCATAGACAACATCAAAAGCTCTAAGATAAACCTTACCCTGACATTAACACTACAGTTTGTCAGAACAGACAGCCAATGTCTCAACACTTATCTAAATTCTCACATATATCACCCAGCACACAGTGCATTCAGATACACCAAACACACCCTACTGATGAGAAACACTTCAGGCTTGGTCGAGTCAGCTTCCCGTTAGGCCAAACCGCAAACAGCAACCCAAACTCAACCCAACACTAAAACACCAAAGCAGCCAGAAGGAAGGGTAACAGTGTGACCACTCAGAGATCTTCTCTGATAAAAAATAAAATTATTTTTTTCAACTTATAGTTAGAAATGTCATCTGTCAGTGTTTAAAAAATAAACACACGTCCAAAATGTTAAATGAACACAAAAGGACAAACAGAAACACAGTGAGGGGCTGCTGATTTCACATTATTATCTGTACAGTGTCTAGAAATCTAGACTCTTTGATGCATGTCGAAAATACTTTAATTTCACTTGTTATTATTGACAAAGACCAAACTGTTAGGTGCTGTGACATGAGATGGGCAACATTATAGAGCTTGTACAATATTGGTTTTTCATTAGATTGACACTGTGTCTCAAACTAAAAATACTTAGTTTGACTGAAAAGTCAACTTGTTGATACACAAATGCAAAATACAACAACAAACCTTTCCATATAATCCAAAGGGCTAAAGATTAAGGGTGCTCTGTAAGCAGTAATGCCAATAACAATTACCTATAACCAATCATGGGGGATATTTCCCACCTTCTATTTATCATTTAGCATTATGTATTTATTTAACTATTCTTACGGGAATACTTCAACCATGACATGACCATCTGTAAATCAGTTAGTCAAGCTGTGTCACTTTGGATTTGTGGAGGAAACTTTGTTTTTTAGGTAGCACTGCACAGTAATCCCACCATATACTGTACACCACGGTGAAATTTTAGGAAGGTGTGAAAAAAATTGATATCGCCCAAGCCTACCGTCCAACTTTTGATTGTGTGGTCAGTTATAGTTGACTAATGTAAGTAAACTTGCCACTGTATGAACAGTAGTTACATAACCTTTGAAATGAGCCACAATTTAATTGTGCGTGAGCATTCATGTGCGGCATGGATGGCGCTGCAGTATTAAAGCAAATAGCACGACACCACTGGGCAAAAATGTGAACAATGTCAGAAAGAGCAGAGTGTATCGCATCCTCTGCAAAAGTGTTCAGTGCGTTATGCGTGGAGAGCAAGAGGAGAGAGATATTGTGACTGTCCTGACTGTAAGTTAGCCGTTATCCATGAATGTAGCAGAGAACGTTCAGTGTAGAGGTGGACGATATATTGATTATACTCAGCTTGTTTCATGTGGAATGTATAAAATGAGTATGTTAGTAACATCAAGTATTAATTGTCATGTCATTGTTTTAAAGCCACCAGCACAAACAAACAGGGCTCCAGACCATGACCATTTATTCACATTTTGTGACCATGGAGCACCAGTGAGACTTGCAAATATTAATAATAAATGAACTGGAGAGCTGTTAGTTTGTTTTCCACTCACAGTGAATAAATTCTCAGTTTAATGGTGCCACTGTAACAGTTTAACTTTATGCTAACAGCTAACTGTTGACCAGAAGCGTCAAGTTCACGGCAGAAAAAACACTCCCTGCCTGAGATGAGCCAGGTGCTTCAGAACAAAAGCACCAGTGGTTCCACTTTCATTTATTTCATTACACAATACTTTATTTACTTTATTACTACAATAATTAATTTAATTTAAGTGTAACAGTCCTTAATTTAACTTTTGTATGACAGTATCTTTTTTAACTTTTCTTAAAACAGTTTTTGGTTTAACTTTTGTATAACAGTACATTATTTAACTTTATTGTAACTGCAGTTAAGTATTTTAGTCAGACATGTCCAAAATCCAGACTGGGGGCCAATCGTGGCCCACAGACTGATTTTAAATGGGTCATGTCTTATCTTATAAAATATTAAATGTGGACTACCACACAGAATTAGTTAAATAAGTAAGTTGATTTATTTTTTCCGTTCACTTTCCATGGCAGGACTCTGATACAATTTGTAGACATGTACCAAGTAGGAACTATGCAGACAGAACTATTGCGCTTTAATAAACAGTAAACAAGCTAGCGAACAGTTACCTAGCAGCAGACATTTCCTACTAGGTAGCAGACATAGCCATAACAAAAAAAAGTAAAGTTGACAGCAAGAGCCACTGCTTTCAGGAGCAGTGGAAAGTTTACTATTTTTTCAGTGAAAAGATGAAACAGCTGCATTTTTCTCATTTGTATGTGATGTTCTTTTTCTTTTTAATAACCCCTATGATGCGAGAAGCAGCTGACCCCTAGGCAATTTCGCATTATGTAATCTGGCTGCCATTAAAAAAGGTAGTCTACAATATTTCTGAAGAGATTTAAAAATACTGAGATATATAGCCCCGATATAGAGATATAGCCCCAAAAAATTGTGGTTCAGTTTGTCAGAACTGCCAGAACAGTGGAGCCATGTTTGCGGCACGTGGTGAAATTGTCATTTTCACCACATTTTGCATCATGTAATTAGCTCTTCTGATCAGTCTTTATAAATACCACTGATCGAACTGTTATCTGCCGATGACGATCAGTGGCCAATCAGTCAAGCATCCTTAATGAAGATCGTTGTAGCTACTAAAATTACCATATTGAATCATTTCTGTCTGGCTCACACCATGATAGAGCAGAGTGACCTCTGAGAAACTCACAATCAGGAGTATGAGCAACATGAAGAGGACCTTACAGGTGATTTTCTTCTGCCTCACAGAGCACAACACTGCAAAAGAGGCACTTCAGTGTTACTGTAGAGGTCTGGCCGTGCATACTGCTGCAGGCCACAGCTCATAAAGACATCAAACCACAAACACTCAGCTGTCTTCAAAGATGCTGTGGTTTGACATGATAGCTCATCTGAGCTTCACATGTGTGACTTTCATATATACCGAAAGTTGGTGCCAAAAGAGTCCAGGCTTAGATTAACATCACATCTGTGAGCTCAATCAGTAGGATGTGGTACATAGAGCAGACAAATTCATTTTTGTTCCCTTTACCAAATCAGTTGCAAAATCTGTGATCCATACGATCTGACCAATGTGAACAAAGTCACAAGCTACAGCAAAGCACTCACAACATTTAGCAGAAGGCTTGCCTCAACTTATCGGCCCTGTTGAAATGATAAACGTGTGGGTGAAACCTCAGCTCAGCAGAGACACATCTATGCATTCAGCAACATCTGACACACACACAGTCCTTTTCTTGTGTAATTTTTGTCCAGGCCTGAAACACTACAGAACAAACCCAGACCATTTATGCATATGCTGACCAGTGGTGGAAGAAGTATTCAGATCCTTTACTTAACCTAAAACAGACGGGAAACACTCCACTACAGGCAAATGTCCTGCATTCAAGACCTTATTTAAGTAATATCAAGTATTGTTGTTGTAATACATACTACAACAAGAAGTATGTAGTATTGTCAGCAAAATGTACTTCAAGTATGAAAAGTTTAAGTACTCACTGTGCAGTAAAATGTTCTCTGTCCTATTCAATCTGATGTTTTTGGATTAATATTACTGCTCCATTAATGTTGTTAAATTAAAAAAGTAGCATAGATGGAAATATGCAAGTTAAGTACAAGCGCCTTAAATCTGTACTTAAGTAAGAAAATCTAAAATGACACAAGCCACAGGGATCATTGGTGGCATGTAACTAAATACATTTGTGCAAACACTGTACTTCAGTACAATTTTGAGGTACCTGAACTTTACTTGAGTAAATGTACTTAGTTACTTTTAACCACTGATGTAGACTTTGACAAAAGAAGCCAAGTTCCTTTTCTCCCTGGTCTTGCTCTGCAACCATGTTGGTTTCATTTTCTGTAGAAAGCAGAAACTTTCTTGTCAACGAGCAGGAAGTGATTTGGCACCAGTCTCAGTTCCACAGTAGGTCTTGACAGAGAGGCTTTTAGTTCCTTTTAACAACCAACATTTTCTTTTTATTCTTGTAACACTCAGAGAAGCTCTGTCAGTGGCTGCAGTGCATCCTGTGAGACAAACTCAATGCGCACCATAAGCCTTTCTCTCAGACATTCTGACATGTCATGGCAGGAACAGCGCAGATGTTGTGTTAACATAAATGACTGCTGCATGATGATGTTGGACTACTGGATCATTTAAATGGGACAGATCCATGATAAATGTTAGTGTATTAGTCAATTTCTCTGCAGATAAGAAGACCTATTATGTTGATAAAGTTCTGCCTCAGCCAGTGCTGTGGTTTGACATATAAGAGCAGGTATGTGCTGCTGTTAATTTAACAAGTATACCACATAATTCAATTCATTTCTGTGGAACCACATACTGACACATGTCTCTCTTTCTGTTGTGACTGATGAGCTCACTGAGACATCTTCTGCATTCATCTGACATTTTAAAAAGGAAGCACTGTGATGAAATGCTCCCCAACGCCCTGTCAGTGCTTTTCTGCTGAAGAACAAGGCTATGTCAACACATGCCCTTATGAAGGTGGCCTAAGGGTAAAATGTTTTATGGGCCACAGTGGATTTTTTTTTTCTTTTTTTTCTGCAATACCACAAGTGTCCAGTGGGAAACTTGGAAGCAAGGCTGAGCTGAGTGAAGTTGATCTTTTTCACTTCATCATTTTATCCTATTAGACAACAGTGTCAATTTTTTGTGAACATTATCATATAAATACTGAGAAAACATGTTTTGTGAGGTCACAGTGACCTTTGACCACCAGAATCTAATCAGTTCACTGTTGAGTCCAAGGCTGCATCCCAAGTCTCTTAATTGTATACTGCTAACTCCTAACTCCTGACTTGAACCGGAAGTCGTTTGGGGTCCGCCATCTTTAAGGCTGTCTCATGCCTCTTATTCCTGCCAGTAAGGAGTTAGCGTTAGGAGTTAGGAGGGATCTGTTAGGTGCGATGAGTAATGAAACACGAGAGGTTCCTAACAGGAAGTATTTTTCAGCTTGAGGCCCTGACGTATAAATACCCGCCCCCTACATCTGGCTCATTTGAACGAGATGGCGGAGAAACAGCGCAAGTGTACCCGTTACATGCATTCTTTGCAATGAAAAGCTATAATTCACATGCCTACGTGACAACAAAGAGTAACATTAATGATATTTAATGCAAGACTGTCATGTTGTAATTAAGTTTATTTCATTCACAACCCGTTGTTCAGCGGACTGTTGGTGATGTGTGGCTGTTAAATGTGCAGCTGCTCATGTCCAGAACCACACATGTTGATATAACACCACGCACGCACGCACGCATGCACGCACGCACGCACACACACACGCACATGCACGCACACACATTTGCCCATCATTAATTGTCCTCCATGTCATGTGAGTGGAATAATGTTTAATAGCCTGTAGGTAATATTAATTATTAATATTAATTCATATTATTACTTTCGTTAATGTTGTTGTAAGCTACTGTCATTACCGTCTGTCCTGCATCTCTCAGTGGAAGAGGGATCCCTCCTCAGTTGCTCTTCCTGAGGTTTCTACCATTTTTTCCCCGTTAAAGGGTTTTTTTGAGGAGTTTTCCTGATCCGCTGTGAGGGTCCTAAGGACAGAGGGATGTCGTAATGTCATATAATGGGACTTGGGGTGTACTCCAAATGCTGGCTCCATTATGCAGCAGATCCAGCTGTCGCGCCATCACCAGAATAGGACGTCGCTTTACGTGACGCTTCAGAGTAAGGCCGCCTCATGTCTCTTAATCAGCAATCCTCGCTCCTCACTCCTAGCTCCTTAAATGTTTTCCTAAGTGGGAGGGACTAAACAGTTAGATAAGGTGGCTAGATAAGGTGGTTAGCAGTAATTTTAAGAGACTTGGGATGCAGCCCCTGTGTACATTTGTGCCAACTCTGAAGAAATTCCCTAAAGAAGCTCTTGAGATTCCACATTAACCAGTATGGGACATACGGATGGACCACCCTAAAAACCACTGTGTCACCGGCCACAGCTATTGCCGGTGGACGCATTAAAAGCAGTGAAAAATATTGTGGTACATACGCGGCCATCATGAGTGAGGAGGATGGAGTCACTCTTGATGTCTCTGTGGATCACACCCTGTGAGTGGAGGACAGACAACGCCTTCAGGACAGACAGACACACTGTGGCGATCTGCTCCTCGTTCATCCTGTAGAGGGAGGGAGACACCATAGATTTTAGACTTTTCATCATCTTTGTTTTTGCAGTTATGTGTTAAATTTAAAGTTTTAAACTTTCTGTCTGTATTTCATAAAGATACAGTCATCTTAAAATATCACAAGAATCTGAAAAACTGTCATAAAAATCAATAAATAACTTGTTCTTAAATGACACAAGCCACAGGGATCATTGGTGGCATGTAACTAAATACATTTATGCAAATACTGTACTTAAGTACAATTTTGAGGTACCTGAACTTTACTTGAGTATTTCTTATTGATTCATTTTTTTCACTTCTACTCCACAACATCTGAGGAAAATATGTGCAACATTTATTTGTGACTTACAGACCCGTATTATTAATACAAAATACAAATCAACTTAGAAATATTGATTTATTATTGGCTCCACCTTTACCAGCTGCAACATGAAAGTGATGAACACATTAATACACTAACAATTATAATTCGATAATATAATATCTATGTATCTGAAATGGGGCATTCTGCATAATGAGTATATTTACTTTTGGTACTTTAGTATATTTTTATGCTTATACTTTAGTACTTTCACTGAATTAAGATTCTGAATGCAGGACTTTTGTTACAGAGTATTTTTTACACTGTGATATTGCCACTTTGACTAAAGTAAACTGAGTACTTCTTCCTGTTGTGATGTTGGTGTATCTGTCTGTGCAGAACACATTAGACAATGCTGCCCCCCTATGGGAGAACAGAGTTTTGGTGTGCAAGGGGTTTAATGAGGGAAATTTAAAGCAGGGTACACAAGAATTACATGAAAATAGATTCATATCATGGAATACGAAGTCACATACTCACCCACAATGGTTAAAATGGACCTGCCCTTGTATGGTGTCTTTCTAGTCTTCCGACCACTCAAAGTGCTTTCGCACTACATGATAGTTTCACCCATTCGCACACGTTTACACACTGGTGGCCTAGGCTACCATACATGGTGCCACCTGCTACTCAGCTTAAACGCAATCACGTCGATGCAACGGCCATCAGGGAATTCAGTATGGATCAATTCAGTGGTCAGTGTTTGAGTATTTTGCCCGAGGATACTTAACATGCAGCCTGGAGAAGCCAGGAATCAAATTGCTGATCTTCCGATTAGTTGACGACCCACTCTACCTCCTGAGCCACAGTCGTTGCGAGTTGTTATAAATGACTGAATTCCCCTCCAAAAAAGTTTCTCACCTGGTGTGTGTCACAATGTCAGTGAGAGCTCCTCCTTCCAGGAACTCCATGACAACCCAGAGCTCGTCTCCCACCAGGTAGCTGTTGTACATCTCCACCACATTCTCATGGTGGTAGTCCCGCATGATCACCACCTGCAGTTACCAAGGAAACAGAAGGACACACGGTCAGGGTATGATTACATTACTTAGTGGACTCAAAGGGTTCTCTACCTTGGTTTATCTGCAGGGTTGAAGCTGCAATTGATCAACAGCCATTAAAGCTTTTTGACACACTGAAGCCTGATAAGCAGATTCAAGTGTCTGAAATGGAAAGTGACGATTGGCAACTCGTGTGTGTCCTGACTGACCGCGAGCATCACGAGCACTGCAGTGCAGCATTCAGAGCTAAACTTTTGTTGGACATCTTCTATTTGTTTCTGTCGCTTGCTCTGAAAGAGCTGCAACAGATGAGAAACGGCTGATCCATGAGGTTGGAATGAGGAAACATCAAAATGACACCTCCTTGTTTCACTACAAAAAGTAAAATAAGGAGGCAGCTGACTGGAGGGAGACTGCCAGGAAGCGCAAAGTTTCTGGTAAATGGCAATCGCAAAAACAGTCTACCTGTTGTCTATATTGCACATCATTTTCAGTTAATATTACAATATAAAACATGCGTTTTCTGTTTGAAAAAGTGCAAACATAGCAAGATGACAAGCAGGCTAACCAAGGTGTTACTGAGATATCACAGTCAGAAGAATAAGACAAATGCAAGGTCACACTGACCTTGACCTTTGCGCACCATAATCTAATTAGTTCATCGTTAAGTCCAAGTGAACTTTTGTGCTGAATTTGGAGGAAGATATTCCCTCAAGGTGTTCTTGAGATATTGTGTTCACAAGAATGGGACAGGTGGTCAACCCAATAACGTAATGCCTCAGGCCATGGCTATCGCCAGCACGGGGGCATAAAAAAATATGACTTATCACAGTGGTAAAATGTAAAAGTGCAGTAAAACATCCACTCTGCAGTTGGAATTAAAGCATCAGATGATGCATTTATTTAGCCTGGCTCCAGACCATAGATCATAGATTTTCGGCACCCCCGAGGCATGGATACTAATGACGTCAGATTCAGGGTGAGTCGTTGATCTCTACTGATTGGTTAGGGAAAAATCAAATTCCCTCCCCCTTGTAAATCGCCTTCAATGGAAGCCATGTCAGACTGAAGATTCTGGGAGCTTCAGTCTGACACTCAGGCTAGCATTTATTGTCACATTTAGTGTGTTTGGATTTTGAGTTGCTTTGAATCACAGCCTTCAGTAGATCATGACTTCTTACCTCGTTGAAGAGAAGTTCTCTGCGCTGTTGTTTCCTCAGGTCCATCTTTTTCACGGCGACCAGTTTCCCGGTGGTCTTCACCGTGGCGATGCACACAATTCCCGTGGACCCCTCCCCTATCTTAATGTAGTGGTCCAGGTAGGTCCGAGGATCGCCAGGATCCACCACCATTTGTAGCGCCGCTCTAAACTGCTCATGGGAAACCCTCTGGGGCTCCCTCTGCGGTGAGCGGCCCTGTGACGGAGCACCTGATGCTGGGGGCCCAGAGGGCACAGGGGGTCGTGGGGCTGGAACGTTGGGGTGAGGGGTGTGTGGTTGCTGGGTGGCCTCAGGGGTCAGGCTGGGGTGGGAGGTGTGATGAGGGTGCGGGTGGCTTACAGGGGGCTTGGAGCCAGAGGAAGCTCGTGAGGAGCCACTAGAAGGGCCATTTTGAGGGGAGGATTCATGATGTCGAACCGGCTGCAAGAAAGAGAATGTCATCACAAAAAGGACATACTTTGATGGGTTGGAGATCTATTATGTAGTGATGTTAATAGGTTTCCAGTGAAGTGAGTCACTGTGACCCACAGGTGGTCATCTGAATGGATTCCCAATAAAATGTGTGCTACAACAAATTGTAGCGTTTAACTCATGTTTGATGTTTTATGGTTATGATAGTGATATTCATGTATGCTGAAAATGGATCTGCAAATTTCTTTAAACAGGCACTGTGTTGGAATTTCTCCTATGTAGTGTTGAGATCGTATATTGCATTCAAACGGATAGCGCACTTTAGCGCCTCACTGTTTCAAACGCGTATTGCAACAACGGTAGCTGCTGTGTACAAAAAAAGCTATGATAACATTGATGAAACCACGTCATCCGATACTTCATGGAGTATTCATTCAGGCTCCTACACAGACACACGCGACGCAAGTTGACAAACCCCCTCCTCACCATTCTGAGTGTTTACAATGTAGGACTGTTGGGGCGGGTGTAAATCGAAACAAACCAATCACGTCTTGTCTTTTGACAACTGACAAGTGGCTCAACCTCACACACCTCATCCCTCTCCTCACAACACTGCGTCACTAACAGCTGTTAGCGACCAGCGGCACTAACAGCATTAACAGCGTTAGCGGCGCTGGTCGCCAACAGCTGTTAGCCGCTGTTAGCTGTGATTCTCCTTCAGCAGCTCTCTCCACCTGGGAAAGGCTACCCCAATGTTGACCCTCGTTTTTTTTTAAATCGCCGGTCACGTTGCCTTTTAGCCTTTTTTCAAATGCACTGGCACTTGTGACTAGCCTGCTTGCTTCTGCTTTTCGTCACTCTACCTGTAGGCGGAAACCGACAAGTGAAAACGCAAAAGGCGATTCCGTATTTCTCAAGTATGTCCCTGTACGTACCTGTATTTTCAAGATGGCGCACGAATTTTATATATAACTTTTATAGTTTTTAGGTTTTCCTTTCGCTCAGAGACTATGAACAAAACAGGATCTCATCTTTTGCAAGATATATGCATAGACAGTAAGAAAATTGTGGCGGCCAGAAAACGTATTTTTTCAACATGGCTTGTACCCTAGACGATAAAGAATCGTCCAGTCATCAATACTGAGGTGCCTCTGGATGGGAGTTGTTAGTGAGTCTACAGCGCCCTTTAAGATTTTAATGCAGCAAAGACACGTACCTAACAACTAGAGGTGGGGGAAAAAATCTATCCAACATAGTACTGCGTTACTTTTTGTGGCAATACGCTAAATATCAATCTTTAAATCATAGAAATTATTAATATTGTAGATGCAAATAAATTTTTTGGTAGCCTATCGAGTAATAAATTCGATCACTTCTTCAATCATCTCAATACATTTTGCTGCACTAAAGATTAATGATGTAAAATGCACCGACTGAAAACTTCATCTTCAACAAATGTTGACAAAGATATACAGTGGTAACAGCTTTCATCCATCAGCCAGTGGCTCAACTTGCACTCGTCTGCCCTCCCTCAGGGATGCTGTCTCTCCTGCTGTCTGTCCTATCAACAGCCTGTGTGTCTCTCTGTTCATGCCGCCGTCCCTACCTGTCCTGTGGGGCTGCGTCCGCCCTCGCTGTCCGTCCTTGGGTAGGTGTTAAATGGCCGTGTGGTCTGTTGGGCAGTTTTCATGACCCCCTCTGTTACTGGCAGGTTTGGAGTACGGATGTTGGGCCCAGAGAGAGGCCTCTTGTCCCTGGGAGACTGAGGGCTGCCATCCCGCACCATGTAGCTGGACTTTGGCCTGTGGTCACTGGGTTGATCCACCTGAAGAGAGGCAGAGTTTAGGTGGGGATGGATTTCCTACTGCGGTGTCAAATTATAGCAAATCAGTGGTACTCAATTTTTTTATACCATTGACTAAAATGTTTTAAGACTTCAAAACCATAAGGTGCCCTATTGTTACAGATAGATCCTTTCGATCACCAATAAAGGTATCTTCATTGCACCTAAAATTAATTCTAAATAAGATTTTGGTGCCTTCAGTCATTATGATCCAACTCTCTGACATTTTCTACCACATGAACTGAGGTCTGTTAAAACAGTGTCTCTTTTTGCAAGCTTTTAGTTAGGCTATGTGTGCAGTTAACAGGGAAAACTTCACCAGAATTGGGCCAAAGGCTCGCCCGACTGCCTCCAAACAGGTAGCATTGACGTCTCGCCAACCGCAGCCAACTACTGATAACCCTTATCCCCCCCTAAAACAAGAGTGTATTGTGTATTCTTAACTGATGTCTGTGTGGGAGACCAGAGAGAAAGATATTTTTAAAATTCTCTGTGTGTTCACCTCTCAGTCATTTTGTAGCTAAAATATTCACAACAAAATAATGAGGACCCTTTAGCGGTGGATCAGTCTGCTGCTTTTAAACGTCATCAGCTCAAGACAAGCACGTTGTTAGTCAAAGTAACACCTTCAAGTGGGTGGCCCTGTTGTAATGGAGACGCAAATCCCTGCTGTGCTGGGCTAACACACAAATTCAAACCTAGTCAAGCCAAGCCAGCACAAGTGTAAGAAAAACGCCATAATATGATGACTGCAGAAAGGAGAGCCGTGCGAGTCCTACTACCAGCAATGTCTACATAATGAATCCTGTTATCAATAAATATGAAGATGAGGGTGTTGAGTCCAGGCTTCATCTTCAGTCCCTACCTGGTCCCGGTCTCGAGGCTCTCTGTCCCTGTGAGGGGGAGGAGGAGGGCCGGAGCCTGGTCTGTCCCTGTGGGCCCTGCTGGGCTCTTGGCCCCGGGGCTGCTGTTGGGGCCGACCCTGGACTCCCTCATCCCACTGAGGAGGGCGGAGTGCGCGCTGACCCTGACGGGGGTCACCTCCACTGTGGTGGTGGTCTGACCTGAGTCGGTCTCTAAGAAGCAGAGCCATGCAAAGATCAGTGCAGGTAGTTATGGTGAACCAGATTCTTGGTTTGTACTGACAACATATCTGCTTTGTTCCTGTGCTAATCATAAAATGATGGATGCTACAACATCTGCAAAACATTGTAGAGCAGAGAGTAAATACACAACTATCAAATGTTTCCAATCTTACTTATGTTTAAAATCTGTGCTTTTACGCCCTCTAGCTCTGCAGTCAAGTACTTACTTGTCTGGGTGTGAGTAGTGTCTGTGGTGAGGATCTCCGTTCTCCTGCCCCCCTACTGAAGAACTAGAGTCCTTGCGAGGCTGGATGGGAGGGCTGCCCCGTCTCAGGGAGTTGGAGCGAGTCACAGACATGGTGTCAAACTCATCCAACAGCCAGGTCAGAGAGCCATCCACTCCAAGCTTGCTGCCACGTACAATTGTCTGGAGATTTAAAACAAAATTGGATTATGGTGGAATAGTAAACAGGATGGGAGGCCCTTACATACAAAGCTTGTCTCATCATTTATCCATTTAAAAGTGGTGACAACTGTCACTATTTTAGGATTCTGTACGAATTGGTTTGCATATGTATAAAAGTGCTTGTGAATTTGTGAGTGCTTAAAATATTTGTTTTTTGTCTTTTGATCAAGTATCTATTCTATGTCAATTTGGTTGCTCCCAATGACAGAATCTCAGAATTTCTACAGTGTCTTTCACATAAGACTTTTAATATCACCATCAAGTTGATTAGTGACAAAGCAAAAAAGACTCAACTTGACTGTCTTACCTGAATTTGGCTTTTGAAGACAAAGGCAATGCACTGACCATGTGGTGGTAAAAATACAAACGCCTTGGCTAGCTGGACATCAGTATCTTAAGTTATTAATAGGACTGTGTATTGTAATTGGACTGTGTACCTCAATACCTTGAGGTTGATACAGTACCGCAATATATTTTTCTATACTTTGTGTGAACTAACTAACAACTTTGTTCTATAAATAACTACTGCAGGAAGGAGACTGTATATTTATGACCATCGAATGTCAAGGTGTGCAATGATTCACAATGGTTGCATTTCACATGGTGACCATCAACTTTAACAAATACAGCCTTAGGGTGGCATGTTGGCACATTTCTGATGTTGTTTGCAAGTGAAGGTGACCTCTAATATGAACGGTCAGACTATGGGTATAACCTCAGTACCACAATACTGTGGTCACGTAATGCTACTGTGGTGATAAGGTAATCATCATCACCATCATCAGCGCACTTTTTTTCTTTTCCTTTTTTGAGCCAATATAATAAATTCATTTAAAAACCTAGTGCAGCCCCTCTGTCTGCAGTCAACACTGGCTCAATTAACTACACAGAACTATCAACACTGAAGGCTGCCACGCCGCAGATGTCTAAGACGGATGCTAAAGCTGCCGCTGAGGTTGAGCGGGCAGACTTGGTGCTGTGACGGCACTGTTTTCTGATGTGCAACCCTAGACTTTATTAAGTCGATATGTAGTTTGACCTCGCAGTCAACATGTACAAACTAATAAACATTATTTAGAACATTGGACACATGATTTTCCTTAGCTGACAACTTGTTAGTTGGTTTGATTTTCGCTCATCCCACCTTGCGTGGCTCTACAGTAGTGATGACAGTCACGTCGATAAAGGGTTTTGGCCTTCTGGCTGTGTCTTCGATAAGTGACTGCCATTGCCGCGGCAACCCGACAAACTTCTGCTCCTGCTCGTCAAAGTCTGTATGTACGCGATGCTCAAAGTTGGATGGAGCGGAGATCTGGATACGAGACTTCTTCTTTTTGGTGAACATGATGGCGGCTGTGGCAGCTGTGGCCTATCATCAAACCTGCAGGGAGGAAGGAGAGAAGACGGGAGGGTTAGCAGGAAAGATAAAATGCAAATGTAAAACTTCCAAGTGACATATGTAAAACATATAGCATGTGCATGCTGACAAGCATAGGCAGCAACATTAGCAAACACTCAGTTACTGAAACATTGAAATACAATAAATAGTGTAAAAAAATATTGATCAACATTTAAAAATGGCTTGGAAATCAGGCTGGGTCTGGTTTCCTATAAAATGCAATCAATGACTGACCCAGAGTAAAACTACTAATAACTGTATTATTTTCAGTAAATGACTGACATCTTATAAAACAGCAACCAACAAAATATTAACTCCTTAATTTGCACCATGATATAAACACACTGTGCACATTTCTAATGCTTACTTCGCTCCTTTTGTACATATCAATACATGTGTATGTGCCTTGACTGTGTAGGTTTATTATTTTATAGTCTCTATATACAGACTGTACATTCAGTGAATGTAGAGTCTGTAGGCAAACCCCGGAGATCTTGCCTCCAGAAGAAGAGCGGAAGAGCCCTGGTTTCCGGTTGTAGGCTGTTTGTAGTTTGCATGATATTGACCAATCACGTTTGAGCCGGCTGCAGTTGTTGCAAGATTAAACGGTCCGTGCGGTGAACTAACGAGATGGAACATAATTGGCGTCACTGCAAACTCTGAATCCATCGCAATGGTTCAGCATATTTACTTATATATAAACGGAAGTCGGAAACGGAAATTCACCTCCTCCGCCCAAATCAAACCGGAATGCCAAAAAATTGGGGGTCTGCCCCCATTGGATGTATTCGCCGTCTGCCGGAAGCCAGACGCAGAATACAGCCGATGGGTTCTGAGAATGATTATTTTAAAACTATTCCCTTTTTATTCTACTTTATTTATTTTCTATTATTTGTTTCATTATCTTTTATATGTATGCATGCATGCATGTATTTAAGTAGTATTTACTCATTTTTATTGTATTTATTTATTAGCCTACCATTTAGAGTTATCATTAGTAATGTGTTATATATACTACTTATT